TATATATATGTATATATATATATATATATATATATATATTCGGTATTTGGCAGAGACCCAAATACCGATTTCTCATGCGCTCGGGCATATGATGAGAGTACGTGTCATGTGCCTAAATATTTGAGAACCCAACGCCACTGGAGATTGAACCCGTGACCTGTGGAAACTTATATTGAACCCCGTCAACCAAGAGTCCAAGGCTTGCGGCACAATATATATATATATATATATATATAAACATCTGCATGTCAGTTGTAAGTTCGTTCTGGTCTTGGGTTCGATTCCGCCCGAGTGTAGGGTGTGGTACTCGAATTCTTAGACGCAAGGGGGATTATATATATATATATTATTCGTGTACTATTAATCTCATTTACAAACAGAACTGTGCCTGGCCTTCAAATCAAATCACAACCGTTAACGTTTCGTGAGCTAAAACGAATACGTTTCCCACTAGGCCAATTATATTATGAAATTCACATCGCTGTCTTATTTCGTGTACCGTCACGCCACATCCTGGACGTTCATCCACTAATACATCTCACACGACTTCACTTCAGAATAAATTGGCTTAATTATCATAATTAGCATAATCAGCATTAACAAACTATATTAACTCAGCTTGTCGCTCTGCTAACAAATTTCAGTTCTAAACTACCACATAGTTAAGCTTTCTGTTTTCGAAAAAATCAACTTCTTCAATTAATTAATCCCTGTTTTTTCTTCCGTGCTATTTTACTAATTATATAATTATTTTGAGTGGGGATTAATTAATTAAATAAATAAATAAATTTAGGGAACGTGAAAATTGAGGCTTGCTTGCTGTCTCCAGAAAGGCGGTAGGCCTGTTTGGGGCTGCCACCTGGCGGGTGGTAACCTAACTCTACTTTAATTTATGCTTACGTGGCATCTTATTATCGCTAATCATTTGGATGGCTTGGGGTGTTAGCTTACAGTGTAAGGGACATCCAAACGCATAATCATGAACAAAAATTCTTTGGATGAAGTTTTAGTTGAAAACGTGCGAGGTTATTGTGTCTTTTAGTAAGTTTCGCATTATACCTCATGTAACCTCTCTATAACTTACCTGTAACCTACAAATATATGAAAACAGAAACACGGAACTTATTAAAAGGTACAATAAGTCATGGAACTTAATACAAATATATATAACCCCCCTAACATACGCTACGTCTTACGTGCACAAATTTTTCTCCATCATCAGAAGTAAATCTATTCAAATTTCAGTTAATTAAGAAAATAAAGTGAAAGCAGACTATGGTTTGACTACTGTTAACAATACAATAAGTCACGGAAAGACCAAAATATTTGCATGCAATCAATATCTCTTTACAACGTCACAAATGAAAAAAAAAATGAATATTTATCATTTTTCATACACAAAAGGGCTATTTCGACCTTACAGAAATAAAACTAACCAATAAAGTAATATGAAACAAGAGAAAGAAGAGCATATATGTACGCCATTATATGTCTCTATAAAAACCAGAGCTCATCTTCCTCACTGGAGCTGCAACATCTAGAGAGATTAAAGAGAAAATAAGATTGATGGGGAGATATCCATGCTGTGATGAAGTTGGAGTGAAGAAGGGGCCATGGACGCCGGAAGAGGATCAGAAGCTTGTGGAGTATATAAAGAAGAATGGGCATGGAAGCTGGAGGCATCTGCCCAAGAGTGCAGGGCTGAATCGGTGTGGGAAGAGCTGTAGACTGAGATGGACTAACTATCTAAGACCAGATATTAAGAGGGGGAAGTTCTCTGAGGAGGAGGAACGTCTCATTATTCATCTTCATTCCGTGCTTGGAAACAAGTAATTTCTTTCTTTTTTTTTTTCTTTTTTTTTTTGGCAATTTTCTTAGAAATTTTCCATGAGGAATTAACTTTTATTGGAGGTAGGTTTGGAATGATTCTTAGGGCCCATTTAAATTGCTTGTAGTTTAAAAACTTCTTTTTTAAATAGATGAGGTGTCAAAATTATCTTTTTATTTGATAATATGTATGTATAGTTAATGTAAAAATTCAATTTTGAAGTTTAAAAACGACTTTTTTTTGTTGCTTCTGGAAAGGTTTTCATTAAAAACATAGTTTTTATGTAAAAACAAGCAAACCTATTCACTTTTTATGACATATACCAAGCACTCCCGTACGTTCCAAAACTGTCCATCATAATAGCAAGCCAAATAACGAACCAAATGCATGCATAACAAACTCATACGTAAAACTCAAATTGCAAAAATATAAGCATATAAACTCAATTAATATATGTATCTCATGACATATTCTAAAAAAATAATAATAATATTCTATATGTATAGGTGGTCTTCCATCGCAACCCGGCTGCCCGGCCGGACCGATAATGAGATCAAGAATTACTGGAACACTCATCTGAAGAAGAAGCTCCTTCTCATGGGCATCGACCCGATCACCCACCGCCCCATAAGCAATCTTGACCTCATCGCCAACCTACCCAATCTCCTCTCCCACACCAACCTAAAAAACTTAGCAATCTCATGCGATCAATCCCTTCTTCATCTCCACACAGATGCAGCCCAATTTGCCAGAATCCAAATCATACAGAGCCTCCTACAACTCCTGTCTTCCCCTCATCCAACTTCCCCTGCAGATACTCTGCTACAACTCATGAACACTAATAAGCTGGAGGGATTTAGCCAATTGGTTGCAGGCCAGAGTTTGATACCAAACAATTTTGAAGGTTTGGAGCAGTCTGGGGAGATGGCATCAAAGATGATCGATGATATTAGCAAACAAGGAGAACTGTTTTCAAATAATAACTATTCATTTCCTGCTTTGGTTTCATCTTTGCCTGAGAATGCATCAGTTGAGCAGAAGCATTTGGACCAGATTGTTAGCTTTAATTCGAGCTCAGTCGCGGGCTGTTCTTCGAGCTCTACGACATTTGATGCGTGGGATGGACTCCATTTTTGTGATCAGGATGCAGGGGAGCTTGGCTGGAAGGATGTTTTGGAGTAAGTATGTAAGGAATATATATATATAGTTTGTTATTGCAGTTCTGATAAATATTAATCACTTCAATGGTGCATTATTTGTTGTAATTAAACTTGGAATGGGATTTTGATTTTTGTTGCAGACAAATATCGTGGTAGAAGAAATGCGGACAGAATTTACTGGCTGGCTAGCTCGTCATTATTCATGGCTGTAGCCGAATATTCACATTTTCAATGGCAAGAAGACAGTAAATACTTCATTTACCATTTCGTGTTTCCTTTTTTTTTTTTTATATTTTTGTACAAAATCAGTGACAAGAGAAGAAATGAATTGACACGGTTCAAGAATCTATGTAGTTCTGTTTGGTTTATATTTTTCTCGGTTGTCGAATATGGTTATATTAACTGTATGTATATATATATATATATATATATATATTGAATATTTGTTGGGGTTGTACGTAAGACCTTGAAAGGATAAAGAGTTTCTGTTCTCTTGGTGAGGAACGCAATGTGCTGGCTGATATTATGTCGACTTCAAATGAGCCAATTTCTTGAATTATGAACACATTTGACTCAAAATTAAGATTGATTATAAGTCAAAAGTTTTCTCGAATCATTTAAAGCAGACTAAATAAATATATATATATATATAGAGAGAGAGAGAGAGAGAGAGAGACACATCGCAGTCAATTTATAATAGTAATGCTGTAGAGGCAGTCAATTTGTGGTAGTAATTGAATATATTCTATATTTATGCACATTTTTCATAAGGACACCTATCAAGTCCATAATTTATTTAAGAGTTTGAAGAATAAAGGAAATTTTTAATCAAATCAATTTTAAATAATTTTTAATATATGAGTTTATATTAGTTTTAACAGACCTGAGGAGTCACACCAAGCTTAAACTAATATATCTATTGAGTAATTTAATTAATTCATGATACTAACATAGATTAAATTATGATGGATTTAATGGTCATCAAATTTATTTTGAGATAAGTTTAACATAAAATTAAGCAATCAAATTTATTTTGAGATAAGTTTAAACTTATCTTCATATAATTTAAGGGTCCGTTTGGGGCAGCTTGTGTCCTGAAACGCGGCCTGTGGGGGTCGACACGCGGCCGACGTTTAGTGTAAAAACTCAAACGCAGTTTCGGATAAGCTGCCCCAAACGGACCCTAAATCGCAATAAAATTTATCATGACTAATGTTAAATCAAAGTTTCCTAAACTAGATTTTTTCCAAGATATAATAAAGCTTTCAAGGCAAGAGTAGAGGTGAGGATGATCATATTTAGGCTGATTTGATCTCAATTTGCAATTTGCTCAAATATAAATAAGCTAGTTAGGTTAAAACAAGCTGTTGGATCTAGCCTATTTGATTTTGAAACTGGTCACATGCACTCATCATGTATATGTAAGTGTGTTTGTGTGAGCTCGAATGTGAAGCACATTAGCCAAAAATAAAATGTATAATCTTGCAATATGTGTGTGTGTGTGTGTGTGTGTGTGTGTGTGTGTGTGTGTGTGTGTGTGTGTGTGTGTGTGTGTGTGTGTGTGTGTGTGTGTGTGTGTGTGTGTGTGTGTGTGTGTGTGTGTGTGTGTGTGTGTGTGTGTGTGTGTGTGTGTGTGTGCACGCGCGTGTAATATTTGGGACTCTGCCAAATTTCAATCTAGAAGAAAATATTAAGTCCATAATACGAAATATCTGAATGACGTACGTAATATTTTCTGTTTATGTTTTCTCTTTATGGCACAATCCAAGAGAAAAATAGACTCAATCATCAAGCTAAAATCTCATTCTTTTGTATTTTTCATGGATGAGCAGTAAACCGTGGACTTTAACTAAACAGTATAAGTTATTACAATATTTAGAGTCAAGAACTTTAGTCATATATTATAAATTATAGTTATATTCCATATATTTCTCTCATAGCTTCTCATAGCTTCCCAGATCACATCTGAACAAAAGTCATACCATTAGTTACCAATTAGGTATATGACCAGTTCCTTGAGCTTCAAGAAATTGACTGCATCTTCATAATTACCAGGAATATACCAACATCTGAGAGCCATCTCTATCTTTCATCATTTCTACAAGCAAACTTTTACAAGTCCAATTGAGTGCTCGCTTCAGCCATTGGAATAATTAACCTGCTAAAATCATAATTAATTAATTTAATCTTAAGTATATATATTGTTCCAAACTATGAGCAGTTAACTTCTGCAGCAAGCAATTAAGCGCTTGTTTAGTTTCATTAGTGAAAAGATTTCTAAGATGAACTGAGAGATTAATTAACTATATTCTTTTGTTAATGAATTAGAATATGTGCTAAATTGAGATTAACATAATTTTATTAAGAAGTGTACAAGAGTAATACGCTTGAGGAGAACATTAAGGAAAACATACAAGGCAAGCAGCTGCTTTCTGAGAACCTGATTAAAACTAATCCATGAGCTACTTATCATTAAGTAGTCATTAATACTGTAAGATAATTGTAATTTATCCAATAAATCATTCAGTGAAATATATTTAAAATGCTCCCATGGAACTTAATATTTACATATCTTCTTCCCCTTTGTTTATAGCTCTCTGGATAGATGATCAAGTCTAAGCAAATGGCATTTTGATGGGCACATAAAATATATAAAATATCACTAATCAATAGAATTTATATTACACTTATCTCAATATAAATTCTATTATCATAAAGTTGGCATGTCTTATTTAAATTTATAACAAGATGACTTAACCTAAATTTTTTTTTCAAGAAGGTTGTTCTTACATACTTGACTTTATGAATATCTATCTACTCTTATCAGTTGATCAGTTTCTTCTAATTAAGAATTTAATAAATTTTCTCTACATTGTTACTGAATCCTTTCCCTCTTTATGACATAAGATCTCTTCATCAGTTATAACTTCCTTCACCAAATTTCTCATGTAAGAAAAAACAATTATCATTGTTATGTCATTAATAGAAAGTTGGTCTATATCATACAGCCCTGAAATGTTGCATATTATGTATTATTATTTGTTTTCATCCTACAAGTGTTAAATAAACATACAAGTTTAGAGCAAATATGATTAAAACAAAATTATGCTAACTAATTTCCTTTAAATTGAAACTTTCTTGCTAAAAGTGCAAGCATATTCAGTCACTTTAGTTATGGCATAAATACCAACATATTCAAATCAACTTCAACTTCTCTTGTTATTCATTTTCATTATATATATATATATAGAAAGATAAAGGTAAGCTGATGCTTGAAACTCTAGAATTTCAAACCTATTTTGTCTCGGAATTATAAACAACAAATATAGTGGGTAAGGTGTTACCAACCATCAAGGAATATGTGTTTCCTTGCAATCTAAAGCTAAAATAGCTTTTTACATATGCAATGTTTGAATAAATCTCATTTCCATTATTATTTCAATAACCAAACTTAACCAACCAGATAGCCCTACAAACCAATGAGAGATTATAACTGAAAGGTGATCAACTAAGATGACACGCTTTCAGTTTAATGTAAAAGCACAAACTAACTCTATCCGTTTGATACCAAATATCTAACCGAAATGGTTGTTCCAACATAAAGTATTCTTCTTTATTCCTACGTCACATTATATGATGAATAAATTTATAAAAAAAAATCCTATTTATTTGGAAATTCATATATGTATATATTTATAGAGAGAGAGAGAGAGAGGGAGAGATAGATCTTCCTCATTTTGATTAATTAACCAAAATGAATTCCCAATTTTTTTAAGAATGTAATTTTTGAAGAGTGAATTGGTGATCTTTAACAAATATCCCAAATCAAATAAAAATGATTGATTGATTATAGAATGTTGCGTGCTAGAAAATTTGTGGCGGTAGAGTAATAGATCATCATCTTAGTATTGCACGAGAATTCAGCACACGCTTGGATAAAAGAAAACACCAAATAGTGGAGGTCATACTGAAGGCCAAGTTAGATTTGTTTCGACAATGGATGAGGCAGCGTGATAAAACAACATTGGAAGACGAAGAAGAGACGAAGGACGACAAGGATGAGGAGATAGAGAAGGTTGATTAAAGAAGATTTTTTTATGTTCATGTTATATATTTGAACATATTTTTTTTCTATGAAGAGTGATGTTTATTATTTAGATTAAATGTATTTTATTTACTTTTTTATTTGATTAGATAATTTACTGTTCGAGTACTATTCTAAATCATTACATACTTCGAATGGTATATTAAATGTTGTGATAGCAGGTGTTGTAATGTAAATACGAAAGAGAGAATCCGTTTTATTGTTGATGCTACAGGTTTTCGATGACTTATCTTCGGTTTTGCGACTACTTTTAACATATATGTTAGCAAAACCAACTGCTAGTCGATGGACTTACTTACTGACGACTAACCGACACTAAACTGACGGCTCAAGTGTGTCATACGAAAACGATGACCGCAACACTTTTTTTTATAGTTTATCCATCAGTTATCAAAACTGACACATCAACGACACATAACTAACAGTTTGATTGTGTCAAAAAAATCAACAGGTGCGACACTTTTCTGACGTGTAAGTTGACGCTATTACTGATAGATTAACTATAGGTTTTATGAACCAACAAAAACTGACAATTTGAATTTTATCAAACAAAAAAACCAACAACATTAAATTGTTGGTTATACGTCGGTAATTTTATGTCGTCAAAATATTAACCGATTTTGAAATTACCAACAGTGTTTTACCTAGGAGCTTAAAATTATTGATAAGTTGTCGGAGACATTCAAAAAAGACAATTTTTGTCATCAGTACCGACGAATTTTGGTTGTCGGAAAAGACTATTATTCCTGTAGTAAAGGAAGCTGGAGCCCGAGTAGGAGGTAGTACATAAGTGAGTGCAATATGTGTGACTATAGTAGACAGAGCTGCAACTAGTAATCGATACTCAGGTGTGGCAGCAGCTGTGACAATAGGTGTGGCATCATGTGTGGGAGCAGGTGCAGAAAAAGACAATCACTTCTTACTACTCCTCTAAGTGGCCCATAAACTGCTCAAGACATGAGGTCGCTTAGGGGCTAACTGCGAGCACCATCTATGGCTATCTATAACAGAAAATAGACATTAAAAAATATAGTAATAACAACAAAATAATCATGAGGTAAATAATCAAAACAGGAGGAAGGAACATAATCAAAACAAGATATGGTAAATGCTTCTAAAATAAAAAATAACAGGATAAGTATGACATAAGTAGCAAAAGTAAACATAGAAATGTGCCAAATCAAACTAAGACATGTCAAGGCTACGTCTAAAAATAGCAAAGCTAAAAAGAG